GGTTGCCAGGATTTCGGGGAGTTAAAGTCCAAGAACATCTGGAGGCCCAAGGTTGGGGACCACTGCTCTAAAACCCCAGCCAGCACAGCTAGTGGTAATGGTTTCTGTGGATTGCAGTCCAAGAACATCTGGGTTACCCAAGGTTGGGAACCACTCTTCTACAACTATCTTTTTTTTTCCTCCCCTAACCCTACTTCTGGCTATAAAGTGTCAAAAGTAGAGAGAAACTCTTTGAGCTAAATCTGTTGCCTGGTCTACCTTGAACCTTCTAGGTGGCCTTTCAACAAGCAACTGTCCTTCTGCCTATGTTCTCCCCTCACCCCCCACAGTAATACAAAATTGATAATAATGGGCAGCCTTATAGAATGGTGGCTACAGGGGATAGCATTCTTTTTTTATGATAAAGTGCTGTTTAGACAGCAAGTACAGAGACTAATTGTTTGTTCCAGTTCCAAACATGTTTCTTGGAATGGTATTTGATTGAAAATGAAATTTATTCAGGAGTATCTGAGGTCAGAGCCCTATACAGTATAGTTAAAAGTTAGCAGCTGAAACATACTTCTTTCCAGTAGGGTGATTTGAAGTCCTTTTCATTTTAAGAAAAAGACAGTATTTAATTTAATGTACTGTACTTCTAAATGGTTATAGATACAGAAATAAAGACTCAGAATGTTGTTCAGTTTTCAATGTCAGCTTTAGCTGCCCAGTGGAATAAAATATTATAATACTCAAGTGAAATCCCGGTAGGAAACCCATGTTCTTGTGAAAAGATTGTGTACCCAAGAATTGATGGGTATAAATAAATTAGCAGACAAATGTGCCACTTAACACATTTCATCTTACTTGAATCAGTTAGAATGCATCAAGCTTTTCTTTAAAGTATTGTCTTCAACAGTAACTGAAAAGCTGAAAAGACATTGCTTTCTTCTGGCTATAAATAGAGTGTTAGAAAAAAAGTTTTCAGGAAAGTTCCATAGTAGGTGCATAGAGCCCATCATTTTTTTATTCACTTGTTTCATGCTTAGAAAGGAAAACTAAGCTTAGCAGTGCTATGCATTTCATTTATGGAGTCACACCGAGTGGTCCAAAAGTTATAATAATCATGTGCCATTAAGTCAAGTCCAACTTATGGTGACCCTTTTCAGGGTTTTTCCTGATAGAGAATACTCCAGAGTGGTTTACCGTTCCCTTCTTTTGGGGGCCCCCCTGGGACTGTGCAGCTTGCCCAAGGCCACACAGACTGGTTCTACTTCTGAGATACACACTGGGAAATAAAACTGCTAACCTCTGGCTCTGCAGCCAGATACCTAAACCACTGAGCTCCCAAAGTAGACAGATTAATTTTAATTCAGTAGCAAACTATACACCACTTTTACTCAGAAACTGAAAATTTACTTCTAAAAATGTATCAGATTCCTTTCTACTTAACTCTGCTTTTTCCTTATATATCTTGAATAGTTTGTTTTCATTTGTTTAATTGGAAAGCATTTTTGTTTTGAGTGAGGATATCTTAAAATAACATGGGATTGAATCCCAGTTCCTTCGGAAGCAAATGGCACTACTCCTGTTGATTAAAATGGAACATTGATTTCATTAATGAATTTGATAACAAATAAGAAAATGACAGCATAATAATTATTTTGATGATCATTGAAATTGGCCATAATTTGCAGAGCATGCACAAATATCGAAACAACCTTTTTTGGTAGAATACACATAGGATAATGTAAAGTTCATACTGCATTATGACACACTATGTACTGTGCAGTCCTGTACTTAAGGGGACTCTTTTGAATATTCGTTGAGCTTACTTCTAGTTAAGTGGATGTATAATTATACCCTTTAAAAAGTAATCTAGAGGTGGGCAGCTCACAGGCTGCCTATGACCTGGAGAGTCTCTGCTCACTGATTTAACTTAGCACTTGGAAATGATGGCTATGTTTCTTAGTGGCAGGTAATGGGTGTGGACTGCAACTCGATCACCTTTTTCTTGCTCCTTAGCACTGCCTTCAGCACCTAAGTTTGCCAGACTGGAAGCTGAATAGTAAGAAAGAAGCTCAGCACTTCTTTCTCTTAGTTGATGAAAATTGCCCCACTTCACCACCACCCACTAAACATACACTGTATGTATGTTTAGATCTTTGGCAATGCATTGTTTTCAGGCAAACATGGATTAAATCAAGGCTATTAGTACAATTTTGGAGCTCATAAGGGTGGGGGAGGAGGAAGGAGCTGCTTTTCATCCCACAAGGTACAGCACCACAATGGGTCTGTCTTACCTCGTTCAGCAAGGATACTGGGTTTGTTGAACTCAAAAGTGCTCACCTTTTTCAGATTCATTTGGCTAGGATTTTCTCATTTGTGGTGCTAGTGCTAGTCCGAAAAAGGCTGACAGCAATGGCAGCAAGGCAAAGAAAGGGAATGGAAAGATAGACATTGGCAAGAGCAAGAAGTGTGTGGTGGTGGCTAGGCAAAAGGAGGAGAAGGAAGACCCAGGGACACACATCAGAATGGTGGTGCTGAGCCAGAAGAGGAGGGGAAAGATTGGCAGTGACTCAAGCAAGTTGGGGGGGGAAGAGTGAGGCAGTGTTACAGAAATGGTTCAAACAAAGGTAATCCAATAGAGGAAGTCCAATATTTTCAAGACTCTCTCTTTCAGAAAATTGACGGTATTGAATTTCAAAGACTCTACTGAAGCCTACTGAAAGAATCCGTTATTGAAAGAAAGTGCTTTTTAATGTTTTTTTAAAAAATTTGCATTCACCGGACAGTCCCAACCCTACTATTCAGCATTTGTAGAATTTAAAAGATGAGTAACTACAGTATTTGAATTGAGGAAAGTAGAAGTCAGAAGTAATGTAGTAAACTGAGCTGCCTCCATGAAAGGAGAAGGCAAATGGCAGCTGCATTGCCCAGTAATGCCCAAGTTTCACCAGATGCCAGCCACTGAGGTACAAAAGAGGGTTGTATACAGTAGGACCTCAGTTTCACTTATCTGCAGTCAAAATATTTTTTTAAACTAGAAAAAAGTATTTTCATTACCAGAAATGTATGCCAGCCACTGAGGTACAAAAGAGGGTTATATACAGTAGGACCTCAGTTTCACTTATTTGCAGTCTGAAAATATTTTTTTAAACTAGAAAAAGTATTTTCATTACCAGAACTGTCCACTAGAGGAAGCCAGAGACCATGCTATGTATTCTTGTTGTTGAAGAATACATAGCATGTTCTCTGGCTCCTTCTGGTGGACAGTTCTGGTAATGCATTATGAAAATACTTTTTTTCTGAATGTTTTTTCTTTTTCCATGCTAAGTATAGTATCCACTATTATCCACAGTTTTCAGCATCTGCGGGGGGCTTAGAACCAAGTCCCCACAGATACAGGAGCCCCACTGTATTCACTTGCAATTTCTCTGCCAGCCATTTTGCAGAGCTCTACGGAAAGAAAAATATGTCTTTTTCTGTTCTGGAAAATTTTACCTCTTTTTTTGTTTGTGGCTTACATCATTAAAAGGACAATATTTCAAAGCTAAAAACAGTAAGTATACAGATATTAAAAAGAATTAAAGAAGTATCCTGTTAAAAATGGTAAATAAAATCAATACAAATAACTCATTTAAAAGCATCAGAGCACAAGCATCCAATCTAAGTTGCTTGTTTCTGGCGAGGTAACAATGAATTGCATGCCGTCAGGCTGGTTCCAACTTATGAAGACCCTTTTGAGGGTTTTCTAGGTAGAGAGTACTTGGAAGGTGTTTATCATTTGTTTTTTTTTGGGGGGGGGCACCTTGGGACCGTGCAACTTGCCATTCTCTGGCTCCCTCTGGTGGACAGTTCTGGTAATGCATTATGAAAATACTTTTTTTCTGAATGTTTTTTCTTTTTCCATGCTAAGTATAGTATCCACTATTATCCACAGTTTTCAGCATCTGCGGGGGGCTTGGAACCAAGTCCCCACAGATACAGGAGTCCCACTGTATTCACTTGCAATTTCTCTGCCAGCCATTTTGCAGAGCTCTACGGAAAGAAAAATATGTCTTTTTCTGTTCTGGAAATTTTTACCTCTTTTTTGTTTATATCACTCCATTTACTCATTCTACTAAAATAGTATGCTATTGATATTAGCTGTATGTGTGATTGTGGGAGGATGATTGTTATATGGCCTGTGTATGGATAGGTCACACAGGGTGCTGCATGTCTCTCCCTGCATCATACTTTTTTTACAGTCCTCCCCCATTGTGCAGTTTTTAAAGACCAGAGATCTGGAAATCCAATGGTGAGGTAATAGACCTGGGGATAGAGTGGGTCAGAAAATCTCCTGGAGAGCCTGGGGGAGGGACCCCTGTGCCCTTTATTTGGATACAGAGTAGATCAGGGTGGCTTCTGCACATCACTAGTAGGTAAGTTACTATCTTCATAGGAGGCACAGTGGTGAATTGAACTCTTTGGCCAGATACTTAAATCACTGAGCTATCCAGCCAGCTATATATACAGGTACCCCAACATAAAGTTTGCTGTAGTAATCAAACCTGAATCCATGTATGCGTGGTGATGTACATGCCTATTTCCTTATGAAAATAGGCCTGTACATTAGTTAAGCATAAAGTTTAATAGCAGCCAGAGATATATCTGGCTATCAGGCACACTAATCCAGTAAACCAAATACCGTATTTTTTCCATGTATAAGACGCCCCCATGTATAAGAACCCCCTACTTTTCTAACACAAAATTTCTTTCTTCGCAATAAAGTGCTTTGATTCCTGCTTTCCCCCTCCACTTTCTTTTGAAGAAAGTGCTTTCCCCTCAACTTTCTTCGCAGGAAAATGGAGGGGAAATCAGGAATAAAAGCACTTTGATTCCTGCTTTCCCCCTCCACTTTTTGCAAAGAAAGTGGAGGGGAAAGCACTTTCCTTGCAAGAAAGTGGAGGGGAAAAGCAGGAATCAAAGTGCTTTGATGATTCCTGCTTTCCCCCGCCACTTTCTTGTCCCTCCACTTGTATTTTTGGGGGAGGAAAGTGGAGGGGAAAAGCAAGAATCATCAAAGCACTTTGATTCTTGCTTTCCCCCTCCACTTTTTACGAAGAAAGTGGACGGGGAAAGCAGGAATCAAAGCGTTTTGATCCCTCTCTCCCTCCTTACTCTCTCTCCCTTCTTACTTCTTTGTATAAGACGACCCTCAATTTTTAATCTAAAGATTTTAGAGAAAAGTATCATCTTATACATCGAAAAATACAGTAGCTGTGAGACAGTTTTCAGTCTGGCCTTTCTGAACTATATATGATGGATGAGCAGGATTAACGTTGGTAACATAGTCTGAAATAGCAAATATTGTATTGGCTTGAATATCTGTAACCACTTCTGATTTACTACTGCCACCTTAGAGCAGTTGTAGAATTTCGCAGGATAGAAACCACGTCATACTTGGATAGGTTTGAGGACATGCCCTTTTACTGAAAAAATAACACTGTGTAAATGCCACAGTACAGTACTGTATTTTTAAGGTACTGTGAATGACAAAACAGTTTATGTTGAGGTAATTGTAAATAGATTATTGTGTGCATTCTGGCTTGTTCATAGCAGTGCTGCTTAGGTGACTTTTGAATTGTTTGGGTTCCTTTACATATACAGAACTGACTGCACCATTAAATTTAGGGAACAGGAAAACCATTGCAAGTGTGGTAAGCTTCAAATACCCTTTAGGGTAGTTACAAGGACTCATCACTAAACTTAGGAAATTGGTGGGATGTATAAATGTGTCTGTCTGCTTTAAGCCTAGCTTGTGTTCAAATGTTACTTTCAAATAATGTCAATTAAGACACTATTTTGCCAAATACAGACAATATGAAATTAGTATAAAGACAAATTAAGGTAACAGCTTGCGGTTTCCCGAAATTTCTTTAATGGAAATTGTGTCAGATAGCTTGTGTAAGAGAATGTTGAGATTTAATTGCTTATTGACAGTCTCAGTTTCTGCTGTCTGGTAGAAAATGTTACTTTCAAATAATGTCAATTAAGACACTATTTTGCCAAATACAGACAATATGAAATTAGTATAAAGACAAATTAAGGTAACAGCTTGCGGTTTCCCGAAATTTCTTTAATGGAAATTGTGTCAGATAGCTTGTGTAAGAGAATGTTGAGATTTAATTGCTTATTGACAATCTCAGTTTCTGCTGTCTGGTAGAAACTCAGAATTGTTTGCATGTGTGGTGTTTCAAGTAATGTCCATAAATAATCTTTTCTATTTTTATTTTAGGACCCCAAACGTCATTTAGAAGAACATGTGGATGTGCTGATGACTAGTAACATTGTCCAGTGTTTAGCAGCAATGTTGGATACTGTTGTATTTAAATAATAACTTACTCATGAATATTCTTTTCTGTCTATAATCACCTTGTTTAAAGCACTGAGACTAAGATAAATTTGGACATCAAAGACATCTGGCATTATTTGCAGTTCTAAGAGCATCACTCTTAACACCTTTTCATCTCTTTGAAGAGTTTTTTTTAATAGCAGAGTCTTTGCAGATTCCAAAGCAATTCAAGGACTGAGCTTAAAAATGTGTTGTTTTCATTTTAATATTCTGGAAAATAATTGGCAGTGCATATATACATTGATTATTACTATGTAGTTTTTAAAAAAACAAAAAAGTTAACCTACTTAGTGTTTTGTTTGTGAATTAGGTGAGGGTCTGTCTTTGATTAATAATGGTGTACAAAGTGCAACAGTCAGAAAAATATATTTCAGTAAGATGATGAAATGCACACCTTGGCACAGATGTGATTTTTGCAATGACCTGCTCTGTGCATAGAAAATACTGTTTTTGTTTTCTATTAATAAGAGTTGAAACTCTGCACCTTTTAAAAAGTTGCTGGAATCAACATTGAAATACAAGAAGTGATGTGAGAAACCCCCTAAGCCTGTGCAAAGCACTTCTCAAAACTGAGTACGGGGCTTTTCTTCTGTTGCTTAGGGCCAATGGGGACAAGAGGGTTTCAGGGCACAGGAATGTTGGCTTCCAGGCAGGCTTCAGTCCATCTCTCCAGGCTGTAACCATTAATCAAGACTGTTCATCATAAAAGGAAATTACTGGCTAAACTGTACAAGAAATGAGGGAAACAAGGCACAACAAATATTGAAAATTACTAACTGTAACTTGGGTTGTTCACCTTGATGAACAACCTCTTCTGATAAAAAAAACTTGATAATTAAAAATGATTACAATTTACCATTAGTATGATATGGAGCCCCAAGTAATTTGAGCAACAACGGTTTTAGGCAAGAGGAAGAGAGTACCTGTTGCAAGTGACCACGTTTCTATAATAAGTGCCTGAGGAACAGTTCAGTATTGAAATAGAAATTACCAAACCCTACATGAAAAATTGATCTTCTTAAAATGCTTGAGAAGACTTGGTAATGTAATCCTAAACCTGGCTCAACCTTCGAAGTACAGTGCTCTGAACTATTATAATAGTTTTATATATTCTACTATTATTCCGTCAAGCAAAACATTCAGTATCTCTTGCACATCATGTTCCAGTCCTTCTTTTTCCTTCCCAAAAACATCCTGTTCTGCAAAACATCTGCAAAAAGCATTGAATATACGAAGGAAAGCAGAAAGTTATCTGTATGGTAATCTCAAAAGCAATAAACCTATTGCAAATAAAAAAAATGAAGACATTCTTTGTTCAAAGTGTTCTGTAAATACTTGTGTAAATGCATCCTGAGGCATCAAATTACAAAAGTACTTTAAAAGAGATTTTTGATTAAATAATTTCTGTTGGGTGGGGGAAGTTTTCACTGGCCAGAATCCTATTAATTAAGTTACGCTGATGTAAGTGCAGTGGCATAAATCTTAGTGGCAAATTGCTACTAGTTTACAAGTTGCTACATGTGTCCCTCATCGCACACCAATTCTTGCAGCTACTGCACAGCAAGGGATACAAGTTATGACATGTTAACTAACAAATAGTTCATTGCTTCAGTTTAAGCCACTGTCAGTGTAAATAGGATTAGCAGGACTACATCCATAGTAATAAAGCAAGGGAGGAAAAAGAAAAAAAACAAGTGTTTAGACATTTTTACCATTAAAAAGGTGAAATCAGTCAAGAGAAACTTATATTTTAAATCTGAAAGGAAGACATTAAATTTACAAATGTAAATGGAGAATATTTATTAATAAACTTTCTCCCGCTGTTATATAATTTCTTAGGTTTAGCTGTTATTGCTGATTTCCATAGCTGGTATCCACCATTTTAAATTTGTGCTTTTCTACTATCCAGTATACAGGACAAGAGCAGCTGCTATCACATAGCTTGCTGGCATTCTCTATATCATTTGTGTCAGAGATTAACAGATCAATGAATTGCATTTAATGGAGTAGCCAAACATTTCTTGCAAGTCAATTATTGGGACTTTTTGGTTACATTAAATCTTTTATTTGGTACTGGAAATACCTGATGAATCTTACCTGTTTCTTTGACAAATAGAATTAGTTTATGGAAAACAAGCAAATCACAATTTATGCAAGTTGAAAAAGTTGGGTTAGCTGTAGTTAAATTTTTTTCTGTCATAGAGTATACACAACCTTTCATATGAAAAACTTTTTAATAAGAATTAAAAGCTTCACAAGAGAAAGGGGTTGTTTAAATTCAGTGCTGCTTTGTTCTTCCCAGATGTAGGATGGTTAGCTTTGACTGTGATTCAGGAGATAGAAGCCATCACTGTTCGAATCTCATACAGTAGTCACAGCTTATGAGAGCCAGTATAGTGTAGTGGATAACATGCTAGACAAGGAGAACTGGGTCCAAATCCTTGCTTGGCCATGGTAACTTACAAAAGGATAGCACTGTTACAATCCATCCTTAAGTGTCTCACATATCCCAGAAACTCTTCTAGAGTTGCTGTCAGTTGGAAATTACATGACAATTGTGAAGTAAGAAAACAAGAATGGAACCAAATCTTTAAAGAAAGAAGTGAAATAATTGGATAAAAAATTCAAATGTCCCTGTTAATTGCTTTATTGAATTTGGTTAAGAAGGGTCAATTGTTGAAAGAAAATAAGGACTTAATAGTACAGTAATAATAATTACGGCAGCAAGGTTAATTTTTGCAAGAAACTAGAGAAATAATAACTCAGAAGAATGGTACAGAGAACTATGGGGTATGGCAATTAATGATAAACTGACGTGATTTGAAAATAAGGAGGCCAATCAAAAAATAATGACTTTATGAAAATATGGAGTGTACTCTTGGAATATGTATTTCGGAGAGGGAAGGGGTATACACCAAGGGAAGAAACAATGAATTTTTGGAGAGAAAATGGATTGAATGAAGTGTAATGCTAGCCCTGAAGGTCATGGTGGCACTAATGTGATATGTAATTGTATTTTATTGTGTGTGTTTTTTTGTGGTAGTAGGTTTATGTTGTGTAATTTAATAAAAACATTTTAAAAGGAAATTACATGACAGTACATAACAACAATACTGTCTAGTAACAGAAAAGATAACTTGGCTGGAGGAAGTAACTACTATCCCATCGCAAATGTGCACCACTGTAAGCCAGTACCTATAATCCCTAGCTGTGTCCCATGTGTACATCTGAAGAAAAGTACAGCCGTAACTACTATCCCATCGCAAATGTGCACCACTGTAAGCCAGTACCTATAATCCCTAACTATCCCATGTGTACATCTGAAAAGTACAGCCAATTTTGCAGACACGACAGGAGAAGAGTGGGTTTAAAAGTTTCAGATACTTGCACGGATAAGCTTTTGGTAGATAGGGATCCTTCTTACTACTCCCTCCAGAACAGAGGGATTGAAACTTCACTATGGACTTCTGATACAATGAAGATATAAAGATACTAATATTAACCTTGGAACTGGAAGTGTTTGCATCTTCTAATTTTAGTCCTTTGGCCTGCTTTTGACAGTTGCGTAGGGTTGTCGCTACATCCAAGATACCTCTCTTGGCCCCTTGGCCTTGGAAGATGCTTGCCAAATATATTATCTTTTATACTGCCATATACATGCTATCATACACAGACACAAAAAACTTGTTGCATAAACTAATTCAGTTGCTTTGAATTAATGACCTATTTTTGAGGGCGAAGTAAGCATGCCTCAATCTGGTTGCTCCATCAAGTGACTGCTACTACTGTCCAGGTTATTTCCCCACTTCACTTTGGTCAGAGAGAAAGCCAATAACATAAAGACTGGGATCCTCTTGTACCATTCAGTGCAATCACATAGTGCTAGAAATTAAGATCCCATTGTATTCTTTGGCTGTAAAGTCAAAGAATCATTATAGAGGTCAATAATCAGGACCAGGCCATCTTGCCAATAATATAACCCTAAGGAATGGGGTCTAAAAGTTCTAAAACCACTCAGCCACATAGTGAAGCTTGCTCCTCCCTTTTTGTTTTTATAGTCATCTGTTTTCAGTACTTACTATATCCCTCGCATGTATTATACCCTCACATCCAAAATGGGCTGAAAGGAAGAGATGTCAAATCATATTTTGCTGCAGATAGGAGTGCCATGGGACAGGGCAGCTCACCACACACATGCCCCAGCCCACATGTGATACCCACCCCTGAAACATCTTTATCTCAGCAATTCTATGGTTTTAAAACAATTCAGAAACTTTCTGCAAGGAAGATTTCCAAAGACCCATTGGGCTTTTTGTGAAGGTTCGCTAATAGGGACCTCTTTCATCTCAAATAAAGGCTGAGACCATTTAAACTCAAACACATTGTCTTGGTTTGTTGATTGCTTAACAGGAACTTCAACAGGTTGTGTCATCAACTGCTCTTGCGGCTGGAACAGTGCACGCAAGGGTGTCCATAAACTATTACCAAAAGGATTTAATTTGTCAATGTCCCATGGTCCAGATATGACTTTCTCTGACCACAGGAACAGGAACTTCAACAGATTGTGTCATCAACTGCCCTTGCGGCTGGAACGGTGCATGCAAGGGTGTCCATAAACTATTACCCAAAGGATTTAACTCGTCAATGTCCCATGGTCCAGATATTACTTTCTCTGACGCTATGGGTTCATTATCTTCTCCCTCAGCTGCTAGTAGCGGTAGGGTCTCCTCCTCCCCTGTCCATCCCCAGGAACTTCAACAGATTGTGTCATCAACTGCCCTTGCGGCTGGAACGGTGCATGCAAGGGTGTCCATAAACTATTACCCAAAGGATTTAACTCGTCAATGTCCCATGGTCCAGATATTACTTTCTCTGACGCTATGGGTTCATTATCTTCTCCCTCAGCTGCTAGTAGCGGTAGGGTCTCCTCCTCCCCTGTCCATCCCCAGGTTGGGGATCCCTCTCCCGGACTGGCCAGCCACGGTCCGGGAAGTATCTCATCTTCTGGAGTTCCGCCAGATGCCATGCTTTCTTGGATTCTACCTCTCGAGCAATCGCCTCCTTCTCATGCAAGTGACGCTGCCACTCTCATCTCCGTCTCCATGCTTTCTTGGATTCTACCTCTCGAGCAATCGCCTCCTTCTCACGCAAGCGACGCTGCCACTCTCTCGTCTCCGTCTTCCCCCCAGTAAGATGGGCACTGAGGTAGACCTTTCCTCCTCCGCTTCTCTGCCTCCTTGTGAGGAACCCGTACTTGTTCCCACTTGTCTGTCCATCTTGTACCCAAATGGTTTCCCAACACACACACCCCGTATCTGGTAAGATGGGCGCTGAGGTAGACCTTTCCTCCTCTGCTTCTCTGCCTCCTTGTGAGGAACCTGTACTTGTTCCCACTTGCCTGTCCATGGGTCTTGTACCCAAATGGTTTCCCAACCACCACCACCCCGTATCTCGTCCCGGGCTTCTTTTATACCCCCAGTTCCCGCCTCCGCAAGTGGCCATTTCTCTCTCCCAAAACCTCCCCAGCCCGGGCAGATATATTTAACCCTTGCAAACCCGACTCCAAGTCTTTGGTGTCTACCCCTTGATGGTTACATTTCTCCTACCTCAGATCTACCGTCAACTCCTCTGTGTTCATGCTCTTCTCTTCCTTCTTAGGGGGGGAAGGTGGCGGGGACGTCTGATTCTCCCTAGAAATCTTGGGGAGCGACGGTACTCCCATAAATGCCTTGGGTCCCTGTTCTCAGACTCCACACTTTTTTAAAGATAACATACTTCCTTTTTGTTGAAGCACAGAAAGCTGTTAGAGACTCTTCTGAACAGTCCTGCAGTTTCCAAAGCTATGTGAACTTATGTGCTTGCCAAAGCCACAAACCTATGTTTCTTCAAAGACAATATTACTGTATTAAATTCATTGCACATAATACCCTTCATTTCAAGGTAAGTTTGAGGCAGTTCATTGAAGGCAGTTGCCTTTGACCGAGGTCTTCCCTCTGACATCCACGTGTCCATCCCATCCTCAGCTCCTACACGTCATGCAGGAAATGGCGGAGCCTTGTTCCCTGATGCTCCAGAGGACAGGCCTGTCATTCCGTGATATTTTTTTTTAACTCCTGGACTCCCTCTCAACCCATAGGTAAAAATTGCAAGGACAAAAATGAAAGGAAAATTCCTGATGGTGAGAGCTGTTTGACAGTAGGAAAAAAACACTGCCTTGAGAGGTGGTGGGTCTTCCTTCACTGGAAAGATTTCATCTGTCAGGGATGCTGCCTGCCTCGCATGATGCAGAACCTGTCGTGAACAGGAG